GACCCCTCTTGGGAAAATCCCGAGGAGGAGGAGCAGCGGCACGAGGCCGGCCCAGCACGGGAGCGCTGCAGGTCCAGATCCGTCCCTGCACCTCCTCCGCAGACGGGACTTGCTGCTGATCTCGGGATGCTTCACATGGGAATGATTCATTAACACACAGGAAAGAATCCAAGACACAGAAATGCCAGGGACCCCAGCACTCCCCCATCCCCACAACCAAATACAACCAGCAGAGAACGGGGTGGGCTTTTGCTTTCCTGTCCCTGTGTCCAGAAGGGTGGGCTTGCTTTGCCCGTTAGCATTTCAGTGTAAAAGCTTCTCTTTTTGGTTTATGTGCACAAAAGGCTTTTGCTTCACAGCTTAGCTAGATACGGGGCTGCAGACTCTACCGCGGCAGCGCCCCAGCCCATCCAAAAGCTCATCCATCACAGCTTCTGGGACATTTTAGGAGGGACTCAAGGCTTTAAGGACTTGGCTCTCCCAAGCCTCATCTGCCCCCCTCACATCCTTCATAGCAATCTCCAGAGCACAGCATGTCGCATTCATTCCTGTCTACCAGCCCATCTTGCCACCGCCAGGATAACGAAAGAAACCCTGTAACTCAAAGAGCTCCTCAGAGGAGCCTCCAGCAAACCGCTGACAACTCCCACGCTTTCCTAGAGTGCCATGCGTTCTCAAAATGAGTTTTTTTGTTTTTAAAACTTAATAACACTAAGCTAAACACGGCTCTGCAGACCAGTCAGAGACCACAGACCGCAGCCTGGCAGCTGACAGGCACCATGAGACCGGGGTTTGGAAACCAGAGCTCCAGCAGCAGACATGGCACAGCCTGGCCAGCCCCAGGGTTGGTGATCGCTTCGGTGCGTCCCCTCCTCTGAAAACAGGCTCCAGGCACCAAAATTAGGACAAGTCAAGTTTAACACCCCACCCCGGGGTGATGTCAGCTGGCCCCAAACTTGGCCAGTATCACAGGGACTGGGGAAAGGACACAAACTCCCAACGGCCTCATCCTCAGCCTTGGCCGCTCGTTCCTCCTCAGCAAGGTCCATTCCTCCCAACCCCACCACCGTGCAGTGGGGTTGGGCTGGGGTACTGCAGGTCCACGGGGTGACTGGGGACGACACAAGCTCAGGATGAAGGAGCTGCCCGGGAAGGGTCATTAGGTCCAGCCAGGGCTCAGCACACCGGTGGGGACACGGCTCGACACCGGCCCTGGTCTCTTCCCCTGTCACAGCGGGGCTGGACCTGGAGCTGCCGCAGTGGAAATGCGGCTTTACAGGCAAACCGCAGGGATTGAAGGATGGATGGAGCTGAAGGGCAGGGGCTTCCAGCAGCTGCACACCTCTGCACCTTCCAACTCCCCTCTCCCTGGGATGCGAGCTCCTGACCAGGAAACGTGCTCTGCAAACCCCAGGGCACACATTCCTGCCTCCCGCTGCCCGCTGCCAATTCTCCCAGCGCTTCCGCAGACACAGCGGTGCTAAGCCATCCCCCACTTCTTATATTGCTACAGAGCTTGTTTCACAGGACTGCGACGGGGACAGGGCTAAAGGGAAGTTTGCTGTCAACGGGGAAGGCTGTAACAGGAGTAAACCGACCTGTCCAGGAAAAGATGGAGGCTGTCCTTTCCCTAGGATGCTACACATCAGTATTCGCCGAGTGCTTTGCATCTCCCACACACTTTGCAGGTACGAGCCAGCAATCTTCGCCGCACTCCCAGGAGGTAGGTAGGTACCACAAGTGTTACCACCCTCATTTTACAGATGAGGAAACTGAGGCAAAGAGGTGAAGTGACTTGCCCAAGGCCACAGCGGAGCCAGGGAAGCAACCCCCAGGAATTCCTAGCTCACCAACCACATGTCCAGCCCACGCCGCTCCTCTGCCGTGGGTTGTCCCTTCAAGAGGAGGGGAAAGCGGGATGAGTTTACAGGGTTTGAAAATCACTAGTTTTGTTTTGTAACAGCATATCTTTACAGAAGCGCAGGAGCCAATTTACTACAACCGTGGCTTGAAAGCCCTGAGCGCTTCCTGTTTGTGAGGTAGAATGAGTTACCGAAGGGCAGTCATAACTCATGCTGCGGCATCGGAAATACTTGTTCCTCTCCACCTCTGCCCCACAGCAGGATAACATGGGAAAAAGCTGATCCCCACCCTTCCTGGTGTAAACACTGCCGGCATGGGGCTGACCTCACCAGTGCAGCCGGGAGAGCCCACCGCCGAGGAGGGGTCCCCAGCCCGCGCCCGAAGCGCGTCCAGGAGAGGCTGAGCTGAGGTTCACACCAGCTGCTATTGCTGCCGGCTCCCAGAGCTCCTCTGCTGCAGCCCCCAGCCAGCGCCTGCTGAAGTTACAGCACGATTTGACAACGGATGAACGAATTCACATTGCACCAACAACATCCTGCAACACACATTTGCCACAAGACCTGTCCGAGATGCGGCGACCCATGGCGGCAGCCACGGGAGCAGGCTATCCCTACAGCAGAGAGGAGTCCTTCTCAAAGGTACCTTCCTGGGAGTTAAGGCAACAGCTTCATCGCCTCTTGTGTGCTGGGATCCACGCAGCTGCAGCAACGCCGCGCTCTGGCATCCAGCGCTTCCAGCAACTGTCAGCCCTGGGACGCACCACGCCCACAGAGCACAACGTGCACGGCTGCTGTCGGCAGAGAGCCGAGGAGGCGACAGCACGCTCTCGATGGCCAGCTGCAGGGTGGCAGAAGTTAGGTGTGACCGTGCCATCACAAAGTATCTCCCGAGCAGCAGCCAACCTGCTTCCCCTGCCCGCTCCAGTTTCTCCGAGAGATCCCTCTGCTCACCCATCCACCTCTTCCCTTCCACACAGCCACTCCGCTGCTCGGGCTCTTCAGAGAGGTGCTGTCACTCCTTCTCCTCCTTCAGAGATGGGGTCTCGGGGCACAAGAGAGTGGCGTGTCACGGGCACGGCAGAGAAACCGCCAGCCACGCTCCCTGCTCAGGCTGGGCTCCCGAGGACCCGCAGCACTGCCTGGGAACGGCCCTTGCGAGCAACAATCACCCCCCTACTGATTTACCGCCAGGTATCCCTCCTCATTGGCACGTGCACGCTCACGCGCGGCTGGCTCATCTCCCCTGCAACGGAGCAACGACTTCAGGGCTGATTCTGTGACACAGACTTTGCTTATCTTCTCGCAATAGCAGCAGAATGCCAGCGATGCCCAGAACGAGTCTTTTTTTCCTTTTTTCTTTCTTTTTTCTTTTCCTTTTCTTCAAGTCCAGCACCATCCTGCTCTGGCTCTGTCCCTCTCTACTGAGGTCAGGTGTGAAAAATCTTAGCAGCATCAGTTTGTGGACAAGTTCCAACTGAGGGTTAGCCTAGTCAAGTGGGCTAAAAAGTTAAAAAAAAAAAATCTAGATTCAAAACCTAGTGGGAAATGCTAAAAACACAGAACTCGATGGCCTTTAACAGGACCAGAGGTAAGTAAACACGACAGACTTCTTGGAAACAGTGATGTAGCTTACGTGCTGTTCATTTGTACAATGTCACCAATCTAAAAAGCCCTAGCAAGGCCAGAAAAAAAAAATTAAAATAGAAAAGGAGGATTCCATCCATGATGCCTGACCATTAAATAAAATACATGACATGTTTTCCACAGCTTCTGTAATTAGTATTTGCTCCTCTGCTGGCCCTGCCCTGCCTCACCCCATCAGCTGTCTGTGTTTTTCTCCGCGTCTTTGGAATGGATGATGTACATGAAAGTCTGTTCGATGGTGAAGTCCGGGGGGAGGCTGCCTTTGTGCACGCCTATGTGCTTGCTCATGAGGTTGAGCGTGGAGCTGTAATGCCCGCAAACAGTACAGCGGTACATGAGGGCTCCCGAGTGCGTCCGCAGGTGGCACTTGATGGTGGAGCGGCCACGGAAGAACTTGTGGCACACCTTGCACTGGTAGGGCTTTTCTCCGGTGTGGATCCTCCGGTGGTAGTTGAATTCACTGGTGTGGGCAAACCTCTTCCCACAGACCTTGCAGCTGTACTTGCTGTTGCCTGGCTGGTTTTGCAGCGACAAGTCTTCGCTCAGGAACTCCTCCGGCAGCTTCCTCTTCTGCAGGCCCTGCTGCTGGAGACGGTCTCCAAAGCTGGGTCGGATGTCCAGGCTGCCCCCGCACTTGTGCTGGCTGACGTGGTAACGATACGCCGCTTCCAGCTTGAAGCTCTGGCCGCAGAAGTGGCACCGGAAAAGAGCCTCCTCCATGTTCTGGTGAACAGCCAAGTGCTTCTCCAAAAGGTGCCGATCCACAAAGCTGTTGGCACAAATAGAGCAGGAGAAGACTGAGATCCCCAAGTGAGACAGGGTGTGCCACATCAGGCTGCAGAGACTGAGGTGCCTCTGGTCACACACACCGCATGTCTGGCTTTTCAAGTTCACGTGGTCCATGATGTGGTTGCGGACGGTGTGGAAATCTTTGGCCAAAGGCTTCCCGCAGGCAGCGCACGCCAGCTCTGAGCCGGGCCCTCCCCCAAACATGGTGATCTTCCCCGGCAGCGGGTCGCTGGGGTGGACGATGATGTTGTTGTCAAAGACACCTTCTCGTTGGTGGAGGGTCAGCTGCCACTGGGTGAAGAACTTGGTCTCGCACATGTCACAGGAGAAGAGAAAGATGCCGATGTGGGACAAAACATGAGTGACCCTGGAGTTCCGGTCCTGGAAGTGGGTTTCACAGACCTTGCAGTTCCCGGTAAGCAGATCAACGTGGTCTCGCGCGTGCTGGCGGATCAGCTGGATGTTGGGCTCCAGGACCTTCTTGCACACCTGGCAGGGCATGGCCTTGCTATCCCGGCTGTCATTCTCAAAGGCCAGCTCTTCTTCACTATCATCACTCAGCTCAATAACTTCTTCCGATGGGCCCAGCTCTTCACTGGCATCTTCAAAATGCAGTTCATCTTCGCCCAAATCCTCCAGCTGAAGCTCATCCATCTGCCCAAAACCTTGCTCTTTGGAGTGGTCACTGTTGCTGGGACAAGAGTTGCTCCCCGTGGAGATGTCCAGGGAAGGATCAGTGGTAAAGAAGCCACCCTTGCCATAGTCGCCATTGCTCTGGACCTTATACTGCTGGCAGGAGCTTGCAGTGGTTTGAACAACGATGTTCACGCCCCCCAGGCTGGGCTGGGTTGCCATACTCGCAGCAGGAGCAAACTGCCCCTGATCCGATTCCTGTTCTGCCTTGGGAGGCTGCTGGGGATGCATCAGGGGAATCACGGTATTCCTGTCATCCTCTTTGTAGCTGCCTGCCACTTCCCCGTGCAAGATGTAATTCCGTTCAGGGCCAAAATGTTCTACGCCACTCCGGATTTCACTCAAAGAATGGCTCTGCTCTGAGGAGGTGCTGCTCAGAGGACCTGACCGGCCTTCGCTCATGGACAGGGCGGGTTGCTTCGTGATGGTTGAGCTCTCCAAGTCAGGGAAGGTTGAATGGCAGGCCTTCAGCAGATCTTCCATGCCCAGCCGCTCTGCCACCTCATAAATGACGCCCACGTTGATTAGGTCTGTGAAGAGCTCCGAGGTATACACAAAGCTGAGGATCTTCTCAAAGTTGGCCGGTGTGATGAAATCCACTACATAGGTCCTAGCAGCATCCAGCCCTGTGTTCAGAAAGAGGTTCTGGAAGTAGCCTGCAGCGCAGGCCAGAACAGCCTTATGTGCGGCAAAGGAGCGGGTGCCCACCAAAATGGTGACGTCGCACATGGTCTCGGAGAGCCTGCACTTGTTGAGTTCCTTCAGCAGGTTGTTGGGGTGATTGGTGCTGTGCAACTTGATCCTCATGCCCATCTTAGCAGCTGCTTATGAGTCCCTCTCCTGGTCAGCTGCTTCTTCACACATTCATCAGCTGTGTGAGCAGGGGGTGCTTGGCATGCAGAAACTGGCAGGGCAAGGGGCTCTAGAGAGAGGAAAATGCAAAAAGAAGTTAATACCTTAATCACCAAAGAGACATCATTCTAGTCATACCTCAAATTTTCCACTTTCCTGACAAGCAACAGAGAAGCAGTGGCAGAGCTGCTTAGATGGAGACTGACTCTCTGGAAAGCAAAGGGAAAGATGCACAAAGGGAAAGGCGCAAACAGACAAAATAAAAAGCCATTTACTCTGCAAGCGACGGCCTGAAGTTCCTGCTTCTATCTGGGCATGGACAGAGGTCCTCCACCTCACAGCTCCACTCAGTCCTGAAACAGCCCCAGCCGGTGCCTGTTACACAGACATCCCCCCTCTCCCCGAGCCAGGGACAACGCTCCTGTCTGGAGGGCTGAAATTCAGTCTCTTCGGGCTGGTCAGCTTTGCCTCCGGGCCTCCTCCAGCCACCATCACTTCATACCTTTGCTTCAGATTACTCCTGTACCCACATGGTAACTTTTGGTTTCCAGGTGGGACCTCATTTCGGATTCTCCTCTGCACGCCAGCTTCCCTGGTTCCCCTGGGATTTCTCTTCTGCTACACCGGTCTTTGCAGCACCTTTCAGCGCTCTTAGCCGGGAGGTTTGCGCAGTATTCCCAGGCTGCCGCTAGACACCTGGCCCACGTCACCAGCAGTTCCCACCTGAGCTTGTCCTTCCAGCTTGTCCCACTGCCTTTGTCACCCTGTCCCACTCAGGACTGCTCAGCCAGCTCTCAGGCCACCCAGGGACTCGACAAGCTTACCCTGGGAGTTCTACCCCTAATCCCCTGCCCTTTTCTCCCCGAGACAGAGAACGACCCCAGAAGCCAGCAGAGAGAGCAAGAGTTTGCAGGAGACAGAAGGCGACTGGGCTGCCTTCTGCCCCAGCTCCAGGGAAAGGCAAGAAGGAGCCGAGGACGGGCCGTCCTCCCGGCACACCGAGGGACGGAGGCAGCGGGGAAACGCCACTCGCGGCTGGGGCGGACGAGGAGGATAAGGCTGGCCGGGGAAGGCTCTGGAGGGGAAAGGCTCAGCAGCCCAGAAAACACATGGACGCGGGTAATTCCTGCGGCG